AAGCAGACTCCCTGCCGAGCAGGGAGCCCGATGCGGGACTCGATCCCGGGACTCCAGGATCATGACCTGAGCCGAAGGCAGTCGCTTAACCAGCTGAGCCACCCAGGCGCCCCTCCTTCCTCATCTTTTTACCAATAAGTCACTTCCAAAATTCCAGATGTCTGTTTGCCCCCATTTTTGTGTTTTTTGTTTGTTTTTATTTCCCCTGCTATTGTCCTGGACCTTTCCCACAGGGTAAATATGGTACCTGCATAGTTGTCCATTAGTCACAAATCTGTTGCATTTTCATTTCGTTCACTACCCTGTGATCAGATGTTAGATTCCTAAACACAGGATATGTTAAGTCACTGATAGTGTCAAAAATAGTGAATAGCTACACACTGTGTATAGGAGAAAATCCAAATACCCCAGCATGATGTCCAATCCTCATCACAACTGGTGCCTAAATACTGCTCCTGGCTCCTTCTACCCAACCAAACAGGCAGCTGCACCCTCCTGTTCCCGCGCAGAGCATGATCCTCATGCTGCTGTGCCTTTTTACATGGTGTTCCCTCTGCCTCTGTTTCCCCTGCACCATTTTATTTCCTATCAGACTTTTACTCATTTTTCAGGCCCTTGCTTAGATTAATTTGATTCCTCATTCTCTCTTGTTGCCTACATTTTCTAGATTCTAGGATCTTAACTAAAAAATGTCTCCTGCATTCTATGCTACCTCTCATTTGAATTTCTGTAACAGCCTCACCTTTTCCTCTTCTAGTTCTATCCTTCACATACCACCAGCTTTTCTAAAGATTTATTTTATTATTTTTAAAGATTTTATTTATTTGAGAAAGAGAGAGCATGAGTGGGGGGGCAGAGGGAGAGGGAAAAGCAGGCTCCCCGATGAGCAGGGAGCCCCACACAGGGTTCAATCCCAGGACCCCAAGATTGTGACCTGAGCTGAAGGCAGATGCTTAATTGACTGAGCCACCCAGGCACCCCTATTTATTTGAGAGAGAGAGAGAGAGTGAGCACATGAGGGGGAGTGGTAGAGGAAGAGAGAGAATCTTACGCAGACTTCCCATTGAGCTTGGAGCCCAACATGGGGCTTGATCTCAGGACCCTGAGATCATGACCTGAGCCAAAACCAAGAGTCAGACATTCAACTGACTGAGGCAACCCAGGCACCCCCTACCACCAGCTTTTCTATGTTCTATCTATAATCACGCTACATCTCTTCAATGTAGACTTCTTTTAGATCCCCTTTGCTTACACACCAGATGATTCTAATAACTTCTAATCTTTATTGCATGAGTCAGTTATACAATCTCCTACATCCTCACAGCTATCCTAAGAAATAAATAAGTGCCATTATTATGACCATGTTTATAGTGAGGTATTGAATCACATTTGACCAACTTAAGTGATCATCTGCTAAGGGGCACGCCAGTATTGCTGGAGAAGCCTTTTGAAAACAACACATCTCTGCTCATATCCACTACAAGTTTTTTGCAAGCCTTTGAGAAATGTCCAGGATGTGAGGGTGTATGTACTCTGCACATTTCTCATTATTTTTGATTGAAAACATTCGACTTTCATGATACTTTCTTTTCATATATGTTGTTGGTAAATTCTGGGGTTTTTTTTTTTCATTCTATTCTAGTACAGTGGTGATAGAAGATTATGTCAATATGACATCATTTCCATTCTTCCTGATGATATACTGGTAGGCACTGGAGAGCAAGATGCCTATCCATTTCTCCATCTCTTCTGTTTGTTTTTCCCAAGCCTTACCTTCTTTATTAACCTGGATTTACTTCAGTTTACTATCCTATTCTTTGTTTTCAGTTCTTCAAATCTTCCCCTGTGGAGAGTTTTGGATTCCATCTCTACCACGAGTAGGGAATTGACAACATTCTTGATTTCCAGCTTCTCTGAGGCCACAGCTTCTTTAATACTTTCTAACAGGCTATTAATACTGTGGGTACTTAATTATTAGAGGATATAGAAAAATGTTCATTGTAGGGAGTAAAGCAACTCTAAAATTCCTACCTTCCATGGAAGGAGGATCACCTCCCAGTCCTATAAAATCGTAAGATATTAAGCTGGAGGAAGAACTTACACTCTTGCAACTCAAGTATGGTTTTCTGCAGTTCTTCCTATGAGTTCATGTGTCCCCTCATTCAGGGATAAGTTTTCAGGCGATTGTCCCCTTTGACATTAGAGTCTCCTATCACACAAAAGGCTGTGTCTTCTCCATTCCTTAAGGATGGAACTAAGCACCATGAAGATTTTAATGAGAGTTCTTCCACTGGAGACCATTATCTAGAGACCACTGCTTTAGACACCAGAAGTCTTGAGCTCTGTGATCTAATACCCAGTGTGATGTCCTCAAAAAGGTTTTTAAATCTTGACCTACCATAGAGACTTTCCAATGATGTTTGCACTTCTTCTTTGACAATCAAAATGATGGAAACTCAACTTGTTAAAAATATATCTTGGGGGGCACCTGGGTGGCTTAGTTGTTAAGCATCTGCCTTCAGCTCAGGTCATGATCCCAGGGTCCTGGGATCGAGCCCTGCATCAGGCTCCCTGCTCAGCGGGAAGCCTGTTTCTCCCTCTCCTGCTCCCCCTGCTTGTGTTCCCTCTCTCACTGTGTCTCTCTCTCTGTCAAATAAATA